CCCCTTCTAGTCTAGGGAATACATCTCTTCACATCTCTTGCTGTGTCATCTCTGGTTGCTTCGCTTCTCAGCACCAACCTTTGCATCAGTAAGCTTTGCCCTTGTTTGTTTTGGTGGCACAGCTCGTTGGCTGTGACATTAGATCAAGTCTCTTACCCATCCCCTCCGTGGAGTGTCTCAACCACTTGCGGACCGGATCTCTCTCCCCAGGAGTTTTTTGAAACGTTTATCATCCCCCCCCCACTATCCTTCCATCCGACTCGGACCTACCGGAGTTTACCCGTCGTCACTTCAAGAGACACGGTCACCTCGACGTCCAGTCCCAGATTGACCACGCCCTTGCTGACGATACATCAGATCGTCTTCGTCATCGCTGTCAGTATCGGCATACCCTGATCGTCCCTCGTCACAAGGCCCTCCTACCATCTGTGCCCCCCAGTCAGCCACTCGACAGACCGCTCGCTGCACGTCTCACCACACCCCCACCAGTTTTTGTCCCCTCAATCCCTACGGTCCCTCTTCAGTACCATATCACTGCACCATCTCTTCCCTCCTTCACACGTCGTGATCCCGTCGACCTCCTCGCTATCATCAGCTCAAAGGTCAACGCCGTCATCAAAAGACTGCAAGCCATCTTCGATCGCAAGGATCAGTTGCTTGACACCCCCCACGATCGTCGGCTCGCCCTTCAGCGCATCGGTGACAGACTCGAGTGGATACTCGACAACATCACGGAGAACGGCACCTCGTGGACTCGCAGTCAGCAACAGAACATCGATTGGTTCTGCAAGGAGTTTGGGAAGGTCAGGTTTAGTGGACTTGGACAAAACTTCAAGCGTGTTGTCAAAGCTCTAGTCGAGCTAGAATGTTTTGGGTACTTAGATTGGATCGTCGTTTAGTTTGTATCTCAGATATCTTTCACAATGGCTTCAGGCTCTCGCTACGCCCCTCTGGCAGAGGACGACTTTGAGTCGGAAGATCCAGGGCCACACACTCACCCGGCTCCATCACTGGCACACACCCGCCCGGCTTCACCCTCTGCCACGCTCCAAGCATACCCAGAAATTCAATGGATCTACGCTGGTGTTGAGTACGACTCGTTGGAAAACGCTATCCGCGCCTCGGCAAATAGTTTAGGCATCACCAACCCAGCTTACGTCGACTGGACTATCTCTGTGACAAGGGATATCACCCGGCGGGAAATAGTTAACGTTTACAACGTCCTCGGCAGCAAGATATATGAACATCGGAATGACTTCCTCAATGAGATCGACACCACCCACGCCACCTTCAAAGAGTTGGACACGTCTATGACAGGCCTTCACACCAAGGCTGACACTGCTGGGAACCTCGCTCTCAAAGCCGTTGAAGAGAACAAACAGCTGAGGGCGGAACTGGTCACTGTCCATGCGGATCTGGAAGTTCTCAACCGGAACAACACAGAGCTCGTCAAACGGTATAAGGAACTCGCGGCCAAGTTTACACAGTTGGAGCAAGGCCTATCAACCCGCACCACGCTTGGTACCAGTACCGCACCGGCCCCTGTCGTATCACAGGCCTCGCGTATCAAGGCATCAGAACCACCCAAGTACAAGGGCAACAAAGGCTCGGACATCACTCTCGAACAATGGTTGCAGAAGATGGGTCTTTGGTTCCGCGTTCAGAACATCACCACGGACGACGACAAGATTACCCTGGCCCTTATGTACTTGGAAGGCGGTGCGCACGATTACGTCGAAGACTACGTCGAGACAGCATCAAACGGCGGAACCCTTGGATCCTGGACCAACTTTGTCAACCGACTTAAGGCAGGCTACCGTCAACTGGCTCCGGAGAAGACCGCACAAACGTCCCTCGAGGAGTGGTGCTCAAAGGCCCACTCTACCGTCATTCAGTTTGCCGAAAACTTCCGCCGCTACGCATTGAAGTCCGGTTACGCCGACATGGAGCTCATCCGTCGCATCGACAACCAGGTTGGAAAGAACTCACAGATTCTGACAGTCATGACGGCAATGTGGCAGGTCAACCCAATGCTGATTCTGACGAAATGGGAACACTATCTGGACTGGGTACTGAAGCTGGAAATGGAAACTCGTGGAAATCAGGCCAAGTCGTCTTCGCAGCAGCAGCACACGACTAGTTGCTGTCGCGGCGACTAGGCGCGTAGACTCGGGTCGACGTTCGGCGACGACCCCGTAGGCGAGCGGCAAGGAGCCGAAAGGGAAAAGAGAGAGAGGGAGAGGGATAAACGCAACAAGAAACTCGACGGGGCAGAGCGGAGGCCGGCACGACGGCACAAGACCTACGAAGCTAGTCTTCACGCAGACAGCGACAGACTAGTCCCAATGACCAAGTTATACATTAGCACTCGAAGGGAAATACAATGCTATGGCCACTCACCTAGTCCCAATGACCAAGAGGTCGAGATGGGGACTAGGGAGCGCCTAAGGGGGTCCTTATATACTAGAGGGGCTGCTTAGCAACCAAGGACAAGGCGCGAGAATGAGGCAGTGAAGATGACAAAGAGAGAACAAAGGGCGAGAAAGAAAAGGCAAGGGCATGGCGATCACGGGAACGTAGCATGCGGTGGTGGGAACGTATCTGCAGTATCCAAAACTGGGATGGGCTAGGAAAGAAATGGTCCGAAGATGGAAGGT